CTTCGCCATATTTCTGTATATCACATATACGGAAATAGTCGTTCTGAGGTCAAGTATGTTTAGAAATACTTCTAGCTAGATCTCCTACGTGCAAAAAGTCTCAGATATTCTATGTCAACATTTCTCATCCGGCTACTACAATAAATATACCATTCGATAGAGAATTTGTCGAGTTACAATGTGATATATATAGTATAGAGAAAAAAGTGTCCTATCGCACCTTGACATTAGAAATGTTTCTGCAAAGCCAGAATTCTGCTCGTAATTCTCAATTTTCTCCATTAGAACTCAACTTTTATGCACTAAAAATACCATATTCGGAATTAAGATCAAAAACTGAGTCGACCAATGTGTATTCGAAATTTTTACTTGATTTTCATTTTCTGGTGAAAATTTCGGTAATTTTTCAACGTGAAAATTTGACAAAAACTAAAATAGTCGGATAGGAAAAAAATACACATTGGTCGACTCAATTTGGATCCTAATTCCAAATATGGTAAGATGCACGTAAGGCAGAGTTGCAGTAACAAATAATGTGGTCGTTTTTTTACATCATTCGATAGAGAATTCAGCATCAAGTTCGAATATCGCGTCCCCGCCTCTGGAAAACGTTTTCTCTCTGAGATATTCTCAAAATACTGTGAACATGTCCAAAACCGGAAAAACTAGTCTTTCTCGAAAAAGCTCTGCCGTTTTTCTCGCTTACATTTGCAAGGTTTGAAAAAGCATTTTTTGGATTCGGGGTCGAAAACTGAATCTGAAAAAGTTACTGTCGAAGACCTAAAACCAAAACCCTATCTGCAGAAAATTGCAGAATCGCGATGAGTCAAAAACGGCGGCCATTTCTCAAAAACCTATCTAGTTTTTTGTGGAGGATTTTGAGCAGGTTTTCTCAGATTATGAAGGGTTCATTGTGGTATATTTCGGTGTCAAAGTCAGCGCAGAGAAGCAGTAGGTCTATTTTTTCTTTTCAGTTGTCGTATCAAATCATCTCCTTTTAACTCGCTCTCCCTGTTTTAGATTCTACTTATTTCTAACTCTCGTTTAACTTTGACTAACTATTTCATTATTCACTATGCCAAAGAGGACCCAAAAGTCGTTCGCCTGACCTCACTGAGCCGAGCTCGAGGAACTGTCGACGAAAGTGAAGAGTCCTCCGATGGCGCACCAGAACCCGAGAAAATGGAGGTGGAGGAGGATGACGAGGTGCACGTCAACCAAGGAACTTCACCCAGAGAATCAATATGGACGACCTGTCCCACCTCTTCGAGCTGTCTTAACAGGAAGTCATGAACATGTCTTTTAGTTCTAAATGTACAGGAACAGTTGAGAATCCCACACGCATCAGTAACGTTTAATGCAGAGATTTCTTGTTTTAGCTTCGGTTTGTTTTCTCTTCTTTCTGTAATTTTTCTGTACATAGGCTTAGAAGGATCAGAATATAACTGTACAAAGCAGCGGAAGTGATAACTAAGTCTCGAAAGCATCCAGTCAGAAAGCCAAATCAGCGGACACTTTCCGCTTCATATCCTCTGAGACAACCCACTCAAAACCCACTGAAGATCTTTCAGAAACCTTCTGAAGATCTCACGAATATCTCCATCGTATTCTCCCTGGTTTTTAATCTCTAGAGCGTTCTCATATCTCCATTTCGACTAAAACTCGCAAAGAGGACCGAAAACGACCTGGCCGTTTCAGCATAGTGCTCAGTAAATGGCGAATAACTCGAGAACGAAAAATGATTACGAGAAAAGCCCATCATAGATTACAAGCTTGTTCTCTGATGAATCTAACCATGTGTGAATTAGGGCTCTATGACCCTCCACAAAAAACTAGATAGGTTTCTGAGAAATGGCCGCCGTTTTTGACTCATCGCGATTCTGGAATTTTCTGTAGTTAGTTTTCTATCTACTAGAAAATAACCTTTTTATCGCTGAAATAATTTTACACGAAACTTTTATTTAGTGGAAAAAACTTCAAGTTTTGTTCCAAAGGGGAGCATGTCAAGAATTTGATTTAGAAATTTCATTTGTGTCAACGTTTTGGCGGCGTCTATGTTGGTCTGTTGATCAACTGGTTGTATCCGTCTTTTTTGAGTTGATCGTAGAAAAGATGATGCTCCTTCTTCATTTGTTTCTCCAGTTTAGTATTTAGTTTTGATGTTAGTTGTAATACGTCTAACTCAACAAGGTCAGATGATCCCGCTTGTTTTATTCTTCAGTCTCACTCCTCATCTCGTCTTCAAATAGTTGTGATGGTTGACAAAAGAGTTTTCAATCTCTGACAGAGAGAACAGAAAGAAAACTAGCACAAGTGTCCGTGTTTTGATATTTCTCGTTCATTTATCTCAATATTATTAAAAAGCATTTCAGATACAAACACGATTTAACAAAATTCGTTTATGAAACTCGTTTCGAACCTCTATTCAGGATTAGTCTTACGATCTACTATCCTACACCTGTGTTGTTGATGAAAACTTAGGAGCATTTCGCAATTATTGAATATGAAGAATAGAAAAGGAGCAAAACTACAACAAAAATAGTTCGTAATTCAAGACTTTTTCTCTCATATAGATAAAATTATCTAAAGATTCGCGTATTTTTAACTAACCAGGAAAGGTCTTCAGATGCCCAACTCCGTTTTTAATGATATTATACCAGTTAATAGAGGAAAGTCAGCGGAAACCCTAAAAGGATTTAGGCCTGTATTACTTCTTTCAAAAGTTATGAATTTTGTTTGTTCTAAAGGAACACTGTGTGCAGTAACAGTAAAAATTCTGTATTGCGTGCATTTTTTCCTAAAACATTCTTTTCTTTCCTGGCTTTTTTACGATGTTCTCTTGTTTCGGGAAAACACTGTTTTCCTTCAAGAAGAAAAATTCAATAACTATAGTTATATCTTTCTAAATTCGCGAACTATTAGCACAAATATAGAAGAAAATTTCAGCTCTTAATTCTTTATTTTGACTGGGTTACAGAATTTTTACTGTTACTGCATACTAGTCACTGATGTTGACATTATTTTCCCTTTGTTTTATCTCTTTTACAGTCTAGTTTCCTCTGATTGGCCCAAAATAGACTCTAATGAAATAACAAAACTAGTAAGTAATAATAATCATCAGCAGAATCAACGCGAAATGGGACACGAATTATTAAAATCACAAGTTCAAAATCGAAAACAGCAACAATAACATTCATAGCTTCAACGACCAACCCAAAAAACTGTTAAACAACGGTCAGCAAAACAATCTTCATTTTTAGGTACTACAAATGACATTCGTTCGGATCCAATTGCGACCCACACATAAAAGAAAGTTAATGCATGAAAGAGAAGACTAGACAAATGCGAATAGCTGAGATCAACAAAAAAGGGAGTCCTTCGTCATGACAATGTGCATATAACGATGATTCCCACGAATGAATAAAAAATTTGATTAGCTATATCTCCGACCATTTCTATTTACTCGGGAACTTACGCTTTTTAAAATCTAGATAGAATTTCTCAGATGAATTATAATACCAAAGCTATACATTTGAAGTAGCATAAATGTCAGCAAACTCTTGGGATCGGACGACACAGAAAATCACAGAGAAAATAGACCGATAAAACGTGGATTCATCGGTCAACAGCAGCGATCACACAGTGTTCCTTTAGAACAAACAATAATTATAACTTTTGAAAGAAGTAATTTGGGTTACCTATTATATAATACCTATTACCTCTGTTAACATGCGTAATATCATTAAAAACGGAGTTGGGCATCTGAAGACCTTCCCTCGTAAGATTCGCTTCAAGACTCGGTTCAAAGCCTAAACTTCTGATTTAAGCACAGCTCAGAGCTCATTATTCTCTATCGTATCGAAAGGTTTCAGTTTCAAATTTTTATGGGTTCGTGTAGGATAGAACCGGTGCTATTCAGATATGAGTGAGAAAAAAAGCGATTTTCTGAAGCCAACCGCTCATCAAGTGTTCCGTGATGCTGTTTCATAATAACAAGAATTCAATAACTTGAAATCAACTCCAAACATAAGTTTGCCATGTGGGATCATTGTCTGTGTGACCAATTGTTAATTCTTGTTTAAAATAACAATCTGCAATTGCGTCATCAGTAGCGGCTTTTTCTCTGCTAAATCCTAAACAACCATCTACCATAAGACAGGTTGACTCACAAGCTTCTAAGTTGCCGCCACTAAATGGATCGTATAAAGGCATTACTGCACTTGGGTTATCAATATCATACATTACAAAATCGTCAATCTGCCATACTGCAACTAAAAATGATTAAAATATTCTGTTTTTGTGTAGTCATTTACCGCAAAGTGTTACGCGGCTTGTCCAGCTAACGGTCTCCTTTTTCCGCTCTTTTTGAAAAGATTATTGCAGTAAAGCTGCAAACTAATCTAAAATTGCAACTAGATAATTAAGTAGATTAAACATTTCTTACAAAATGAAAAGTATCTTAGCTGTGAATGTTGATTTGTTATGAAAATACAGCTGTTGTACAAACAACCATCTGAAAAACGTGTCTAAAAGACTGAAGACGAGCAGGCGAAAATTGAACAAATATACCAGTTTGTAGAAAATTGTTTGCTCTGCAAGATGCGATAGCTTGTTAAATTCGAAACTATTCTAATTAAT